GGTGGGTGGATGGATGGGGGGAGTGGATGGGTGGGTGGGTGGATACATGGGTGGATGAAATGATAATTAGTGAATCAAACCACACTGACCTGTGATTAGGGAACCCAAATGTTTTTCGTTAGTCCTCTGGACATTCCTGCCTTGTCAACTGCTAGATTCCCATTTCTTAGCATGGTAGGTGACAAATGGTTTTCAGTTGAATGGAATTCCTAGAAATCCTCTGGAAAGGTCAGTATTTAAACATGGGCCGAGCCTTGGCAACCCCAGTGGGCAGGCAGAGGGATGGCCAAGAAGATCTGGGTGTGTACTAACTCCCCAAATTGGGAAATGACTACAGAATTTTCCCCCATCAGTGGATTCTGGGCCCCAGGCTGCCTCTTGGAGCCACAGGAAAGGAAATTTAGCAAATTTGCCCAGAGCGTCGTTAAAAAGTGTCCTGCCCTCTCCTGAGTGGCTGGGGAGGCCCCTGGCATTCTCTTCCCTATTCTCTTCTCTGGCGGAGTCTGGGCCTCGGAAGCAGACAGAGAGGCTCTGAGCAGGCAGAGGAAGGGCAGTGGGGAGTCCACTGAGACGGGCTTAAGTGCATTCCTCTCTTCTTGCCAGGCCAGTGAGAATTTGGCTCTAAATTTTTAACCTAAATAGAGTTATATTCATTCTCTCTCCCACTAGATGCAAAACGCTTTTTTGGAGCAATTAAGGAAGAGCATAAATCAGTCCATTTTTAAAAGCTCAGGCTGACTTTGTGGCTGGCTAAAATTAGTGTCTCCATAAAGGAGGAGGAGGAGGGGGAGGAGAGAGCTGGATTTGCCTTCAAGACGTTCATTCACTGAGGCTGGGGGTGAAGCCAGGCCTCTGCCCTGCGTCGGCCAGATCGCAGGGAGCCACGGCGTCCAGCCCCACCTGGCTTCTGCCGACCAGCATACCCTTTCTGCTCCAACCCCTGTCTCAGCCCTTTCCCGATCCCCTGATATGGTGGAAAGAGAGTGGGTTTGCAGAGCGACTGGGCTCAAACCCCAGCTTCACTGCACACCCGCTGTGTGGCCCTGGGCAAGTCACCTCACCTCTCTGAGCCCCCAATTTCTGTGTCAGACAAATGCCACCTTCTCACCTTCAGGCCTTCCCTCTTCCACCTGACTTTGGATCCACACAGCTCAGAATACGAAGTAACGGCCCTCCTCCCATGCCCCCCTCCTGGTTCTGTAATCACACTCTGCGTATTGGCTGTTTGACCACAGCCCACTCCTTCACTGGGCTGGAAGCCCCCAGAGGGTCTTGTCTGCTTGCTCATCGTTGACACATCGTAGATGCACAGCCAGTATTTTGCTCTTGACTGAAGGAATTCATAAGGACCCCATGGACCCGTCACTTTACCTCTCAGGGCTTCACTTCCTAACTGTAAAATGAGAAAAAGAAATGTGTTCTTTGCAAGTGAGTATTAAGCGCGACAAATCCTGTATCTGGGAGATCTTTATCGAGCTCTTATTACATTCTGGGCTTCGGGGAGGCAGCAGTGAGCAGGACAGGTGTGGTCCCTACCTTCAAGGACCTACAAACCTAGCTGGAGAGAATGTAGTGTTTTAGCACCTAGGAGAGCGCCCCCACTGCTTGCTCTCAATTGAATAAGGAAGGAATGAATGAGTGAATGAGTGAACAAATGAATGGATGAATGGAAAGAGAATCTCCTCCATTTGTGGCTCCCCTAACTCCCCACCTGTAGCATTTCCACTACACATTATCTGGGGAATTGCCTTTTGTGCTGACAGTTTAGATTTGTTTCCACTCTGGCTGTGTTGCCCTAGCTCAGTGTCTCACCCTCTCTGGGCCTCATTTTCCCACCTGCAAGGTGGAAGTGCGGGGCGGTCATCTCAAATTCCCTTTGACTTGGGAGGGATGTTCTGGTCCCTTGTAGACAGGGCCTTAGAAGCTTCCAGGAGAGAAATCCTGTCACCGCCCGCCTCCCTCCTGGTCTGGTTCTTCTGTAGGTCTGGCCTGGATGCTGGCTCATCTCCCAGGGGGAGGGTTAATTACTCACAGGTGCTATCTGCTCATCTCCCAGGCCTCTTATCTGGGACATAAGCGTTTAGGCAAATACATTAGGCCAAAGCAGGCCAGGCACATGGGAACCAGAGCCTTTGGACAAACATCTCTGGGCTTCTCTCAGCCGTGGAGGATGGACATGGACGCGGGTCTGTGCTCCTCACTGGCCTCTGACCCCAAAGACCTGTCTAGCCCACACCTGCAGGATTGACCCACAGGTCCTGAAAATTCCAGGCACCCAAATTCAGTCCTTCCCCAGGACCATGTTCAGCAAGACTGAGCTCTGGGCTGGCGCTCTCCCCACCAGCCCGTTCAGCTAGACGGACGCACTCTGACAGGGCCTCAGTCAATCACAGCGAGGCAGAGAAATCCTACATAGAGTTCCACGGCCATGCCTGGGAGATTAGGGGATTCTCTGCGATTCAGATTGATCAACAGATTTTTCTGGAAGGAAATGGGGCTGTCACTGAGCATATGCTATTCCCGGGGCCTGGGCTCTAACTCTCACATGCACCAGCCCACCCTCCCCCTCACCAGCCAGGGAACGTGCGTGTCGGGCTCCCTTCACAGGTGAGGACCCGAGCCCCAAGGAAGCCAAGTGACTTCCTTTGGGGATCTGGGGAAGGAGGCTCACACTGTCTGGGCTCCTTGGGGGCAGAGCTTGGGTCAGCTGCCTCCCTTACCTGCCTTTCCCTAATGCTCACCTCACCCTGATAGATGGGCGCCATCATCACCCCTGAGGCAGGACCTGAGGCTGGGGAGGGGGCAGGGGGTGTGAAGCCACGCCCTCCAGGTCCCACAGCGGGGGAGGGGCAGCACCGTATTGCCCGCTGGCTCCTGGGCCCTTCAGAGTCCCCGCTCTGTGTACTGTACTACAAAGCCCATGGACCGGAGCCCCTCTGGGAAAACAGAGAACGAGAATTCATAACCATGATATATTTGCATGGATTTCTACCACGTACCAGGGATTTTCGCATACTTATCATCCCGTGATTCCACCGCAACCCTTTGAGGTAAGCAATATAGGTGTTTATTTCACAAATATTTATGTAGTGCTTACTGTGTGCTGGGCATTCTTTTAAGCACTTTATAAATATTCATGTGTTTAACCTGTATTAAAAACTCCACGAGTTAGACTCTGTTATGTTCCCCATTTTATAAATGAGGGAGCCGAGGCACAGAGAGGGGAAAGAACTGACTGGAAGCCACACAGCTAGTGAGTGACAGAGCTGGGATTCCGTCTCCATCTCCGGCAGTCCGGCTCCTGGCTTTTCCACCTCGCGCTGAGGCCTTCTTGTCCTCACATTTTCGGGTTGGGAAGGAGCTCCGAGCAGGGTGGGTAGCAGGAAAAGTGGCAGGGCCCAGCCTTGGGTGACGCCGACCTGGGGCTAGGAGCCGCAGGCCAGCCCTCTCTGCCCCCTGCCCCGGGCCCCCCGGGTCCCCAGCGTGGAGGGTGTTCCGTGTCTTGCAGCAAAGCTGATGAGCTTGGATCCATCTCAGGGAAGCGTTCTTCTGTCCCGGGGTCAAGGCTGAAGGGAATGGGGCCCTAAGTGACAGGCACGGCGATCGGGGATTAGCAGAGCTGAAGAGCCTTTGCCTGAGTCCCGCACGCGGGCTACAGAATCATCGAGCTTTAAGACCCTTATCTCACCACGGAAATCGAATAATCCCTCGCGGGACATGTGGCCTCTCTTTCTTCTGTTCCTCTTCTTTGTCCTGCTGTTTATCTCACTCACAATCCCCGGGCGGCCTGAGAAGTGAGTGGGAACAAAGGCGGTATGTACATCTCGGGTATTCAGTGCTGGGGGCTGTAGGATTTGCTTCGGGCATTCCCATCGGAGCCTGAGACAAGCATTTGGGTGCAGCTGGTTTATTTGGGAGTGACCCCAGGAAATGTCAGCAGGGAAGAAAGGAGTGAGGCAGGAGAAGGAAGGAAAATGGTACAAGGTGTAGCCGGACCGCCCAGGAGGCTGTGCGGGACGTACCTCAGGATCGCCCTCCCCGGAACGAGGCAGCTGGGGCATTTATCCACCAGTCCCCCTCCTTCACAGAATGAACATCTCTTTGTGGGCATCGCTGCCCTGGTCCACCCATGTGGGCCCAGCACGCCCATGGTGGGGTCTCCTCTGCAGTGGGGGCGCTCAGGACACCAGCCCCGCATCTGCTTCCCCTTGCCCCCATGATTATGTTCTTGCTGCTGCCGCCGCTGTGAACTGAGCACCTACTCTGAGCCAGGCTCCCCCTAAAGACTTTCCCTGAATTATGGCACCTAAATCCCCTTTCTGTGGACTTGACTGACCTTCTGCAGGTCAGGAAACTGAGGCACAGAATCTGTGGGAGAGTAGTATTCAGACCTAGACACTCCATCATCAAGCCCTTGATAAGCACCCGCGGTGTGCTCGGTTCTGGCAAGGACTACAAAACCCACATCCAGAACCGTTGTCCTCGACACCTCTCCAGGGCATGGAGACTGTATTTTCCAGATTCTCCAGGATGGTCCCAGTTGCAAGTATTTTTTTTTTATCCTTTTTAATACAGACAGTTTGTGACATACATAATCAAATGCATGCAAATGTTTAAACCTTTGTAAGACTTTTTGCATGAATAAATACGTTCTTCCCTTCCCACCGGGAAAGCCACGTCTAACAGGAGATTCTAGTCGGGGCTGGGAAAATGAACCAAAGGGAAGAGAACCTGATTCAGCCTCCTAACCTCGGCCTCTGGGAAGGCCCTGCCTGGATCTCACTGATTGAGGTCATTGGGATTCCCCAGCGCCTTCCTGAGGGCCTGGTACATCTCGGGGCTCCCTAGGTGATGTACCTCACCCTCTCTCCTTCTAGCAAATCTTGGCCTTCTCTGCTTCTTGGCCTCCTTCTTGTCTGTCTTCATCATTCACATACTCCCCTGCCCTGTCGGGAGTAGACCACTGTTGGGCACTGTGGCTCTGTGGCTAGGATCATAGGCTCTGGGTTTGACCCCACGGTGTGCTGGCTCGTGACCTGGCCCTAGTCCCTGGCATGCTCTGGGCCTCAGTTTCCTCCTCTGTGAGGTGGGGCTCATATGGCAGCAGACACTGTCAGAGCCCAGCCACGGCCCCTCCCGGAGAGCCTGGGACCCTCTGCCTGGAGCAGCACCCCCGCCTGGGCACCGGGCAGGCCAGATGTGCAGAGAGCTGGTGTCCCCGGAAGCAGCCCTCAGGACAGGATGGACAGGAAGTGGGAGGACGGATGCCCTGCGTCCTTGCTCTGGGTTGGACGCTCCAGGAGCACCTTCTATGCCAGGTCCCAGAGATCCCCAGTGGGATGGACCTCCAGCTACCCACAGCGGCTGGGGGCTGGCATGATAACACACCCACTGTTGGCTGTCTTCTCGCACTCACGTCTCCTGGGTCACCTCCCAAAGAAGCCACCTGCCCCTGAATTGTTTACTGAGTCTTCATTTAGGGCACCCCAAGCCAAGCCATTATTGTACCTACCTTTGGGGCAACTGTGGGGATTTCGTGAGTCTTCGTAAAGCACAGAACAGAGCCTGTGTGTGCACGTGCCGTCAGGCAGGCACTCCTGTAATTAGTACCCCGGTTCATCAAACACATCACACGCTGCACAGTCTCTGGGCCTTTGCTCCTGCTATTCCCTCTGCCTGCCCTGCTTTTCCCGTCCTCTTCCCCTGGCTCATGCCAAGATGTCCTTCAGGATTCAGTTCAGAAGTCACCTCTTCCAGGAAGCCTTCCTTGACCACCCTTTGCCCTTGGCTGGTGAGGGGATCCCTATTCCGTGCACCCACAGGCTTCCATCTTTCCTGGCATTAATCCCCAAGATTATCATCCTCTCCCTGTCCATTCCTTGAGGTTGGAGACCATGTGTCCTTGCCCTCTGGGGAAGGAGGGAGCACGCGCGCGTGTGTGTGTGTGTGTGTGTGTGTGTGTGTGTGTCTTGCACGTCCCTCTGCTTCTTGCCCTGGACACGTGCCTGCACACACAAGGCACTCAGCAGGCGTGGAGTGATGATGGCTTACAGCCCACACGGGAAAGACTGGGGACCCTCAGCTCCTTTCCCCCACTTCCTCCCTCCTCACCCCCTCCTGGGGGCACCCCGTGGGGCAGGATTCTGGGGCAGTGGGAGCTCAAAGAAAGATGAGCACCCAAGGTGACGAGAATTGGCTTTGGGGAGGAAGCGTTAAAGGACCTTAAGGTCAGGGTCTCCTCTGGTGAGGAGGCCAGGAAGAGAGACAGACAGAGATAGAGACAGAGAGAGAGAGAGAGGGAGAGAGGGAGCTGAAAGCTTTGAGGCCTGCTTTGTTTCCGTTCTATTTATTATGATGATAACAATAGTTATTTATTGAGGAGGATGCTGAGCCAAAGTTTTCCCCATCTGCCAATGATAGAAAAAAAAGGATACAATTTGGTTTTAAAGCAAGAGAAATTGCAGTTAGACACCGGGAGGAACTACCCACTCTCTGAGCTGGATTGGCTGTCATTAGGTTCTCAGCTGGCAGTCAGCGGAATGACAGCCTCAGCCAAAAGAGAGCCTGGAACAGGGACCCTGGGGCAGAATGACTGCCTGAGGGGTGAGGGAGAGGAGGGAGGGAGGCTGGTGCACAGATGTGTGGGATGCTTCGGCTCTCCACCAGCTGCTGTGGCCAGAAGGAGCTCGAGAGCGAGAGGCCTGGAGACCGAGTGCCCTGATCTACTGCCAACCTGCTGGAGGACTTTAAGCAAGTGGCTTCGCTTCTCTGGGCCTCAGTTTCTTTATCTGTAAAATGGGGACACATCCCCAGCCAACTTCACCAGCAGTGTCCTAAGTTATTGGATGGAAATATGCTTTACACAATTTAAAACACTGTCGAGATTTAAAAAAAACAAAAACAAAAAACAAACCTCAACAGAGCGAGAGGAGACGCAGAAGAGAAGTGAGCGTATGCTTCTCATTCTGTCCCAGTGGCCGGTGGCAAGGGGATGCCCTTCAATGAGCAGCTGCTCCACACCTCGCACTTCACCTACAAGGACTCGTTGAGCCCTCACAATAGCCTGGTGGGAGGCAGTGTCTCCATTTCACAAAGGAGAATGCTGAGGCCCAGAGACGTCAGTTCACTTACCCAGAGTCACACAGCAGCAAGTGGTAGTGTAAGGATTAGAACTCAGGCTTCTCCGAGCTCAAAAACCCTTGGCCATATTGTCACAGCTGGGGTGGTCACATGTCCCATGCTCATCGGATGACCTGATGACCCTCCCTATGCCCAAAATAAAAGATAAGAGGGCAAGGCCAAGAGATCTTCCCAGAACTTTAGGCCCTCCCTGTCCCTCCTCAGAAAGCCCTGCACAGGCCCCTTTGCCCTCTGGAAGGGAGCATCAGGCCCAATCTAGGACTTCATCACCCACCCACCCAGGCCCGGGCTGAGAAGAAGCGAGGCTCTGAGCCCGACTGATAAGATCCCAGGCACTGCAGCCAAAGCCGGCGGCCTGGCCAGGCTGTAGGGTATGCTAATTGCTCTGTCGGCTGTGGAGCCTTGTTTGCATATATGCAAATTGGGGGGCTTATTAGCTGTTCTCCCAGATGGGTCAGTTCAGGCCTCGGCCTGACCCCTGCACGGCCTGGTTTGCAGGCTTCACTAGCCAGTGGGACAAATGCCCAACCAGATGGAGGACTCAGCAGGCAGGGGCGGCCCCGTGGCCTTGGCAGCTGGAGGATCCAATCAGGACTTGAGTGTTTTGGTGGGGGAACCGGAGGCTGTGATCTAATGTTTCTCTGGCTGTCCCAATCCAGGGGACCCCAGAATATCCCAGGGCCTGCCCTGGGCTTTCTCCTCCCAGGCACAGGACTCATGAAGCTGACCTTGGCCCCGCAGGTGCCTAGCCAGGGCAGATGCCCGTCGTCTAGCTGTGAGTAGCTGTGAGGGCTCTCGCAGACCAGTGGGCATCCTCAGAGGACCCTGGGCCTGTGTCCTTGAGCCTAGCCAGGCAGCTGCTCAGACGCAGAGTCGTTGAACCTCATCACCCCTCTGTCAGGCGGGGCTCAGGGCGCAAAGCTTCAGTACTGTTGTCCAGGATCCTCCACCACCAGGTCCTCAGGCGGGGTCCCTCATCTCCTGCCTGGATGACCAAACAGTCTCAGCCTTGGTCTCCCGCCTCCCCCTGCCCCCCACCGCTCCCTCTTCCTCCAGGCAACCCAGCTGATCTATTCAAATCACAAATCGGATCACTCTCCTCCCTGCTTAAAACTTTCCATGGCTCCCCAGTGCCCAGGCATCAAGGCCAAACCACTAACCTCGCCTGTACCCCTTACATGGGTGTTCAATCCCTGCTTTTCTTGTCAGTGTCCAGCACCGTCCTCGTCTACACCATGAATTCCTGGGGGGCAGGGAGCCGGTCTTGGAGCTGCCATAACCCGAGAGCCTAGCAGAGCTGGTTGGACTTTCGGGGACCAGAGAAATCACCTTCTCAGGGAGGTCTTCTTCCTGGATGCTCTCTGTGCCTTTCCCTCTTTCTGGATTTTGAGTCCCTCAGGAACTCAGCTAATGGAGATAACCCAGAGGGCCTGTGCCTTCATTTCTGTGTCTCTATTCAAGATCTCTTTTCTGGGGGAGGGTCTTCTCTGTTAGATTGGGAGTTCTCAAATGGTAGAGGGGCATGTCTCCGCCATCAGACTTGGGACCTCCCTAGGGAGGCCTGTGTCTCCCCTATCAGATGTGGGACCTCTCCAGGGAGGGGCTGTGTCTCCCCCATCAGACTTGGGATCTCCCCAGGGAGGACTG